AGGGTACATAGGAGGTTGTAAATTTTAGGAAGAATGGAAAGACAGGAGATGGGGTTCCTAGGTAATAAAGGGCTTTAAAAGAGGGTTTTCTATTTAATAATAGAGGTGCTAGGGAACCACTCAAGTTTATTGAGTAAGGGGATGACTGGTTAGGCCTATGATTGAGGAAAATCACTTTAGTGGCTGAGTAGCGGCTACACTGAAGTGGGTAGAAACTTGAGGCAGGGACACCATCCCAGCAGGCTGGTGCAATAGTCCAGGCAGGCGGGGATGAGGGTCTGCAACAGGGGTGGGGAGAAAAAAACCGGGAGAAAAACTGCAAAGATGAAATTGATAGACTTTGGCAACAGTTTGGATATGGGGGTGAGAGAGTGAGGAGCTGAGGTGACATTTATTACTGGAACAGTAACAGCTGAGTTTTGAAATTGGAAGGGTTTTGGGGGAAAAGATAATGAGCTCAGTTTTGGATATGTTGATTTTAAGATGTCGATAGGACGTCCTGTTTGGTATGTCTGAAAGGCATTTGGAGATGTGAGCCTGGAGGTTATAGTAGAATATATAACGATTATATAATAATATGTTACATATTACAGCCTATAGGAATCATAGATTTTTACATTATGTATAATTAATATGTAATAATAGAGACGTTAGGGCAGGATAGGTAGATTTGAGAATCATCAGCATAGAGACTGTCATTAAATCCATGGGAAGAGAAAGTGATCACCAAATATAAAGGGAGAAGAGAAAGGGGTCCAGGACAGAGCCCTGGGGGCATCCAGGGTTACAGGGCATGACCTGAACAAAGGAGACAGGTAGGAGGAGAACCAGGAGAGGGGGTGTCCTGAAGACCTAAGGAGAAGAGGAGGGAAGGGTGATTCACACTGTCAAAGGCTGCAGAAAGGTCACGAAGAATGAAGATTGACACCAAATGATCTCAAAAGGATGTGTGAGGGTAAAGAAGGGGACATTTTAGAGAGATTAAAGATGAAGGGGTTAGATAGTTGGATAGATAAGTGAGAGGAAGGAGTCAAGGTTAGGAAATCTGGAATGAAGCTCAGGAGACAGAGTAGGACTGGATGTATAGATACGGGGATTATTTGCAAGGAGGTGATCATTGAACCAAGGAGAGCTGATGAGGCCAACAAGTTCGTCACTCGATAGAGGCAAAGGACAGGACAGAATCTTGGGGGGTATACTGGAAGTGGACTGGGATCTAGCAAAAGAGAACGGGGAGAGAAAGAGAACCAGGAAAGAGGGGAGAGAGAGAGACAGAGACAGAGACAGAGACAGAATCAGAAACAGAGACACAGAGAGAGTTAACAGAGGGTGATCCACAGTGTCAAAAGCTGCAGAGGTCAGAAAAGGAAGAGGCCATTAGATTTGGCAACAAAGTTAGCTGTTTCCTAGGACCGTGTGTAGTTAATTGCACCATATTAGGGAAGGTCAAAACCTTTCCTCCTGTTTCATTATGATGTTTAAAAAAAAAATTATGGTTTTAAGGTTTCTTTCTACTCTCTGATGCAATGTGAGTCAAAAACTATGATCCACACCCATGTACATAATGGGTTTTTTCCTACTAGTCAATCAATCAATAAATAAGAACTTATTAATAATGCTCACCATATGTCAAACAGTCTAGATACTGCAGATAAAAATACAGAAAAGCCGCAGTGTCTAACTCGATAATTTTTCATGGAATGAATGAGTGAATGAATGAATGAATGAATGAATGGATTTCTTATTCTACACATTCGCAGGTAAGGAAGTAATAAACATATGAGAAAAGCAGTTATTTGGGGGGACACTAATTAAAGGATTGGGTCACTCAGGAAAGGCCTTTGGAAGGGGGTAGCTCTGGAGCTGAGCTTTAAAGGAAGCTAGATATCAATAGTAATTTTCTTTATTTACTGTCTGAAGCTGCTTTGCAGTGCTAAGCCTGCCCTAAGAAGGGTACTGGCTTCAGCCTTCAGGTGATGGAGGGGTTGGGGAGTGGAATTTTGCCTCGGTCCTGATTAGATTATGATCATCCAGAGTGGCCTAGTGTTAGGCAGGAGGCTCCTGGTCCTTGGCTGAATAAAAATGGTCAAGGACTAGCTCTTGCTGGGCTGTCCTGGGAAAGGTGGGATTCCACCATCTTCCCACCCTCCAGTGGTTCACTGCACACTCCCTGGGGTCACCTGAAGCCACTTCTTTGGAGCAAACAAATTTCTCTTTGTAAAACCTTTACTTTCACTATTGTGTCCTGTATAACTGGTCATTGTTACTTAAACAACAACATTTCCTCTTTCCTCTATCTCTGGTCCTAGGCTCAACATGAGTAAATAACTATTGAGTAATAGTAATAATAGCTTACAGAAAATTTTAAATTTTACAAAATACTCGACATTATCTCAAGATCTGGTTTCGCCTCTGACACTTAGTATAGTTCTCTGCCTGTGAGCAATGTCCCTTAAACTTCTTTGATCTTCAGTTTCTTCATCTGTAAAATTCAAATAATACCCATCTTTCCTACCTCGAAAGCTTGTTAGGAGATTTAAATGAAGTAATGTATGTGATGTGATTTGCACACCTTATAGTACTATATTAATATAAGCAATGTTAATGGTCTCTCATATCATAGACGAGGAAACCTAGGCATAATAACCAGGGTAGATGAGGAAATGTGGCAAGTAGCAGAGGTCTTTGAGTTTCTAATTCAGGGCTCTAAACAGTAGCTACTAAGCAAAGTGTATTATAAGAAATGTTATTTTAATGGGATAGGCAAGATGTAGATGGCAACAGGAGGCGATTATCAAATGTATTCAAGGATAGTTTTTCTTAAGCTTTCTCAAGTAGGAGACCTGGTGCCATTTTGGGGCTGAATGAATATGGGAAATGAAAAGTATTCTGGGATGGGTCAATGAATTTTCTCTTGGTATTCACCCAGTGCTTTCTAAAGCAGAGGAGTTGGGGCAAACAAAAAGTAAAAAGTTAGACTCCTGCCCCTCAGAATTTATCACCACAGCTGGACAAACACAGCTAATCGACAATTGCGCCTGGTAATAACTGAAGTTTCTCTGGCGTTTTGTGATTTATACCCCAATTTGTAGGCTGTTATCTCATTTAATCTTGATCTACACAATAATCCAGACTGCTGAATGTTGTGTCTTTTTTACCACGGTGAGAATTGAGACTGGAGAGGTTAAATGACCTGGTCACAAGAGCGCGGGATTTGGAAGAGGTCTTTGGGGGGGGAGGGGACAAACAGAGGTCCACACAGAGTCACACAGCTAGTACGTGTCAAGTGTCTGAGTCCTGACTCCAGGGCCGTTGCTCTGTCCACTGTGCCGCGTAGCTACCCTGAGCTGAGTTTTCTATTCCCAGTGTAATAATAATATATCTAATACCATCTAACAATAATCTAATCTAATAGCTAAATTTTATATAGCCTCTATTATATGCCAGCCATGATTCGGGAGTGCTTAATAATGATTTCTCTCATTTGACCCTCACAAAACCCTAGGAGGAAGGCGCTGTTTTCGTCCCCCCTAACAGAGTACCTTGCCCTTTTAATAGAAGTTGAATTGAATGGAACTACGCAGAACGATTAGTTTGTCTTTCTCACAAATTCGGCCTCCTTTCCTAGCTACTACCTCTCTCTGAGTAGGTGGGAGCGGGTCAGAACGGAAAGGAGCGACGACATCGGAGATTTTGAAAGTCCAGGGGGGTTGAATGAGGCAACAAGTGTTTGCATCGGGATTGATTGACCAGGAAAATGGCGGTGTTACTGACAAAAGAAGCTTGAGCCTGAACTAATGAGCTCCATTTTAGATGGCTAGACATTTGATTTCCCTAACCTTCTAGCTCCTGTTTGAGTTCCTGAGATAAAGAGGAAACGCGTGCAGGCCAATCTGGAGAGGCTATCTTGAAAGAAAGGGTTTTTGCTGGAAGCCTTAGGGGATGTTAATTTCTTTCCTTGCAGAGAACTTGGTTAGGGGCTGAAGGGCCTGGGAAGCCCAGCTTTGCGCCAGGAGGCGGGTTCGTTTACGCAGCTTTCTCGGTCTATGCTTCAAGGTCAACCTTGACCCTGTGCTAGGCACATAGTAGGAGCTTAATAAATGTTTATTGAATTAAAGTGAACCTTGGCCTCTGTTTTGAAAAGGGGAGGGTGTCTCCATTGATTAGTAAAGCTCAGCTCTGTTTTTCCAGTTCCAAAATCTCTCGCCAACTCCACCTTCACCTTCCTCCCAGATCTTTAAGAGCTGAATCTCTGAGAGATACTCTGAAAGGCTTTTGGCTAGGATCGTGGAGAACTGCTTTAGGGAGGAACGCTGAATTTGGAGTCAGAGGAACGGGGTTCAAAATCTAACACCAAGGCGTGTGACTTTTGAAAAATGCACTTCCTCTCCGGCAGCTTGTTTAAATTTGTCTTATCTGGAATTGGAGCCCTCCTCCTACGCGCCCTTACAATAACTCCTTTGGCGCTGACTTGCTGCACCTGGTCTTGTGCAAATTACTTAACCGGTTTCCCAGTCTGTAAAATAGAGATAATTTGCACTACCCGCTTTGGAAAGTCATTGTGGGGAAAAAAAAATGTGCTTTTTTGCAAAATTTATAATGAAGTTATTCTGTTCGGTTTTTTTTTTGCACGTTTCTAACAGTCAACGAAAGTCACGTGGTAAGATCCAAAAGCGGCAGAAAAAAATCAAAGTTGCTGCAAACCGTAAACCCCTTTTTGTAAAACATTCCCGCGGCACAGCTTACCGAAGTTGGCGGGCAATTGTTTTAAAGGGAGGTGCTTGCCAATTGCACCAAATGTGGTAAAAATTGTCTTATGCAATTAGCCGCCTCTTTTAAACCACCAAGGGAGTGCTATATTCTGTGGAGTTTGCAATAAAATTCGCGCCATTCCCAAAAAAACCCAGGCTCTGCAAAACGACTCTAGGAGCACGTGCGCGCCTACTGCCGCTTGGGCCATGGCCTTCGGGAAAGCCACGCCCCCGCACGGCACACGTAATCCAGACAGACCAATGAGCGGAGGGACGCTACGAGATCGCCTATAAAAGCGCCTGCACTGGCCAGCTTGCTGCCGCCATTTCGGGTGAGCGGTAGCGGCGACGGGTGGGTGGCGTAAGTATCCTGCTCCTTCTGGCCCTTCCCAGGCCCCTTCCCGGCCTTTGCTGCCTCAGGAGCCACTCCGTGGGGAGGCCGCGGCCCCCGGGCTCGCCCTCGGACGGGGCGGCGGGCGGCTCCGAGCCCCTGCGGGCCAGCACGTCGCAGCGCCCGCGGCGGTTGCTGGAGCCGTTAGAGCGGGTGGCGCTGCTGCGCCGGCGGAGCTTCTAGGGGCCTCAGCGGGCGCCGGCCGCGTGGGCTGGGCCTGCAAGGTTGAGGCCCGGGCCCCGAGGGACGCGCGCGAGGGCAGGGCCTCTGCTTAGAAGCAGCCGGGGGAGGTGAGCGGGCGTGGGCTGGCGGGGCTCTGCTTCGAGCGCTGCCCTCGGGCATGGCATTCTGCGTGCTGGTTTGGCCTGTAGCTGACGGCTCTGCTTAAAGAGGAGGCGGGGGAAACCAGCCTGCAAATGCAAAAAAACCCCAAACGAGTAATTTCTGGTTGGGGAGGAGGAATGCTTTTAGCTGGTGGGGCGCCTAAGCCTAAGGGCCCGCAAAGAGTGCTTACCTTCCCAAGAACCCCTCGAGCTTTCGCAGTGCCCATCTTCTAGCATCTCGACCAGTTGGCTGGGTGTAAGGTGAAAACTCAGAATTGGCTGGATTTCACTTATTAGTGATTTGGAGCATCCTTTAGAGTTGTCTACATATCTTCGGATGTCAAACTTCGAGAAATTTGGTAAACCGCCCCCCCATTCTGTTGCTTGCCTCCTTATCCTAGGTGCATTAATTTCTTTTGTGCAGAAGCTTTTTAAGTTTTATGTAATCAATTGTCTATTTTATTGTTTATTTTATTATCTTCATTTCCATTTTTAGTCATTTTATTTTAAATATTTTATCTTAAATTTATTTTAAACTTAAATGATTTTATTTTTTAATGTTTTATGTACAATTTGAATTTTTAAATGCCTTAAATATAGTTTATTATTTGCTTCTATTTCTTGCTGAGAATATACAGAGCTCTGAAAGATACATGGTGTTTTTTTTATGGTACCATCTTTAACATTAAGGTCGTGTATTTTGAATTGATTGTAGCAAGAGGCCTAAGATACTGGTCTAAGCCAAATTTCTGGCAGACTGCTTTTGATTCAAGTGAGCATTGATAGAGAATTTTGCATAGTTTTGCATGGTGCTTTGAAGACAGTCTTACAAGTGAGGAGGCTGGGCCAGCCAGAGGGGCAAAAGACTGGCACAGAAGTGGAGGATTTGGAGTCAGGGAAATCTACCCACTTGACTTTAGATGGGTCACTGACTTAGTCTTAGGAAAGAGGTCATCTAGAAGATTTTTAGTACTTTACAGGTCTTACTGTCTGATTCCACATTCCCTGGTCACACTGCTCATAAATATGGAAAGGCAAGGTTTTAAATTGGGGTTCTCGGGGCAGCTAGGTGGCACCGTGGATACAGCATCGACCCTGAAGCCAGGAGGACCTGAGTTCAAATGCCGCCTCAGACCAAACACTTGACCTTGGGCAAGTCACTTAACCGAAATTGCCTCATTAAAAAAAAAAATTGGGATTCTCCCAACTCCAAGCCACACCAAAAAAGGAGGCTTGCAGAGAGGGTTTTAAATAAAATTTGGAGGAGAATTATTTCTAACTTTAGCGGATGCTACTCCACACAATGTATTTTGAGATGAGATGAAATTCCAAAATAAAATTTTTATCTTTTAAGCAAGTTTCATATGTTGGGTGTTGAAATGTCTGCATTGGAGTGACTTTCTTAATGTCTATGATGATATGGGTTCATTAAACACTAAACATCTTTAGATTATAACAATCCATTGAGAATAGCTGAGGTGAGCAGAAAAGAGACATCAGACAAATACAAAGACACACCTTTGCTATCAAACAAGTATTTCTTAGACACCTGTTACAACTGTGCTAAGCTCTATGCCCCAGCCCTCCGGGAGCCTCGTCTTGGTGAGAGCTATGGAAGCACAGTATCTAAGGATGAGTAAATACCAGCTGCTTATTAATTGGGGAGGGGGCCAGAGAAAACATGTGGAAGAGAGTAGACATTTGCAGGTGGGGAGAGGAGGGAAGCAGGGCCCCCCCCCGGGGGGGGGGAGGCTTATAAAGGCATTGGAATGTTCTCTCTCCATGAATAATAGCCTTGGGGCAGGAGCTCCCATTCAAACCCTCTTAGGATGTTGTAAAAATGAAAATAATAGGCAATAGGGAAGGAGCTGAATCATAAAGGACTTTAGCTGACAGCGTGAAGAAGCAGCTATTTGGGGCTGGGGATTGTGCTAGGCTTTGGTGTTTCAGAGACACAAAGCTGAGGCCCACAAGAAGATTGTATTCTATTAAGGGAAACATGTAATTAAGTGAATAGAAAATTTCTACAAGCCAAATTGGGGAGGGGTCTAATAGCTTGAGGGGATTGGGAAAGTCCTCTTGTAATGAGGTTTCTTGAGCATGGCGAGTACCATTCCAGTGATTTAGGGATATTGGTTTAGCTGCTTTTCTGAAAGAATTGGAGAGGACAAACTACAGAACAAGTAGGGAGAGAGGAAATCCTAAACTAGGGTGGTTATAATTTTAGTGTAGTCAGTCAGTAAATATAAAGGTGCCAGACCACACACGCCCATACCCCCTCCACTTCCCAGGAACTCTGTCTTCCTGGGGAAGACCACAAGCAAACCCAAATGTAAAAACAAGTTGTATACAGGAGAAATGGAAGATAATTAACTGGGAAGGCACTGATGTTAAGAGGGATTTGGAAAGGCTTCCTGTAGAAGGTGGGATTTTAATAGGGACTTGAAGGAATCCATGAGGAGGAACATTCCAGACCAGTGAGATTGTCCAGAAGAGTATGTGGGCAGTGGGGGTGGGGTCCTAGGTTATAAAGGGCTTTGAAAGATTTTATATTTAATTCTAGAGGTGCTAGGGAACCACTCAACTTCATTGAATAAGGGAGTGACACTGTTAGGCCTGTGCTTGGGAGAAAATCACTTGGCCTAGGCGACAATGACAGGGTCAGATATACATCTGAACAGAATGGAGGGTGGACTGGAGTTTGGGGGAGGCTTGTGGAGATAGATAACCAGGAGGCTCTTTCAGTACTGCCGGTGTGAGGTGAGGGGAGAAGAGGGCATAGTTAAGAGATGTTGCCAAGGTAGAAGTGCCAGACTTCGGCAGCAGATTGGAAGGGGGGTGAGGTGTTCAGGGCGACTCCTAGGTTGGGAAACTGAAGGACTTGGAGGATGCTGGAGTCTTCTACAGTAATGAGAAAGTTGAGAAGGGGGAAGGGGCTAGGCTGGGAGAAAGATGACTTCCATGTTGGACTTGTTGAATTTAAGATGTCTGCCGGGCATCTAGTTTGAGATGAACAGAAGGCAATTGGAGAGACGAGCTTGGTGGTCAGATTGAGGCAGGATAAATAATCCTCGGGTTAGAAATAATTAAATCCATGGGAGCTGAAATCCCCAGTGAAGTAGCATAGGAAGAGAAGAAGGCCCAGGATAGAGCCCTGGCAGGCATTCAAGATTAGAGGGCATGACCTGATGAGGATCTCTCAAAGACTGAGAAAGAGCTGTCAGGAGGAAAACCAGGAGAGAGGGTGTCCTGAAAACCTAGAGTAGAGATTATCAGGGAGAAGAGGGTGAGGGAGAGTTGAGAAAAGGCTGTTGGATCTGGTAGGAGATCATGTGTAATTTTGTAGAGAGCTGTTTTGGTAGACGAGGCTGTAAGCATGATTGTCCAGGGTTTAGAAGAGTGTGAAGGCACGTATAGTAGAGATCCTTTTCAGCAAGTTTAGCTGCAGAGCAGAAGAGATCTAGGATGAGAGCAGGGAAGGAGCTAGTAGAAAGGAAGAGAGTGGCATGACCAGAGGATGTTGGAGATGAGATGGAATGGGATTTCTTGTGCAGATAGGAGGGTTGCCCTTGATAATGCATAGAGCCCCACCCATTTGTATGACAAGGATAAAGTAGTGGGATGGTGGCAGGAGGAATCTTGAGTGATAGATGGGGAGGAGGGGAGAAGAGGGAAATGTTGGCAAATGGCCTCAATTTTTTTGTGAGGTAAAGATCTCAACTAGGTGTGTGGGGAGATGTTCAAGAATGGGTGAAAAGGTTTGAAAGAGTCCCTGTGCAGAGTGGTATATGTTTTGTTGCTTTTTATTTCCCCCCCTCCCCCAAATAAACAGCCTCTAATTTTATCTTTTTAACTTTCAATGAATTTTGTTCATCTCTATTCTGACTTTTCAGGATTTCTGTTGCAGAGTTAGTTTGGGATTTTTAGATGTTTTTCCACTTCTTTTTTTAGTTGCATGTCCTGTTCATTCTCCCTCCCCCCCCCTCCTCCCCTCTCTCTCTCACTCACACACACAGCATTTTTGGCATTTTTTTTTGTTATTTTCTTACATGAAATTATTATCTTATGTGTATGATTTGTTTTTTGACCCACCCATTCTTCAGGATTAATTTCCAATCAATTTTTAATTCCATTCCAGTGTTTCTCTCCTTATCCTAGGAACATTAATTTCCTTATGAATACTTTTTTTATTACATTATGGTCTATAAATGATTAGTGTGTTATTTCTACATTTGCTTCTGATATTTTTGTGCTCTAATGCATAATTAATTTTTGTAAAGGTACTATTCTTATCTGAGATATATGCATGATCCTTTGTATACTTACTCAGTATTCTCCAGAGCATTTTTATTTAACTTACTCTGAAATTCTGAGCAGGTTCTTTATTTTGTGGTTTTTGTTGTTGTTGTTTTTAGATTTATCTAGGTCTGAGAAGGGGTCAGTTAAGGCCCCCACAGCTAGTTAATATTTATTTCTTCCTAAAAAAAGATTTTAGATGTTATATGTTTGGATGCATTAGTATTGCTGTCTGTTATTGATATCTGTTCATTCTCTATACTTTTCAGCAAAATGTAATTTCCCTTTTTAACTCTTTTAATTAGGTCTATTTATGTTGTTTGTCTGAGATCCTGATTGTTCCTTCTCCTGTGCTTTTTTTTTTTTCAGCAAAAAATTTCACCTCAGCCCCATTTTAATTCTTTCTGTTTCAAATGTGTTTTCTTGTAAATAGGATTCTACTTTATAATTCCTTTTGTTCTTTTTCCATTTTCTGGATGAGTTCACCCATTCACAATTGTAATTGTTAATTATGTTTCTCTCCCTATTTTAAACTTTTACCTTCTCTTTGTTTCCTGGCAGCTATTTAAGGGTTTATTTTGCTTCTGATTAATCTTTCCCCTGAGGCAGCTAGATGGTTTAGTGGATGGAGTGCTGGGCCTGGAGTCTGGAAGACCTAAATTTAAGTCTGGCCTCTGACACTTTACTAGTGTGTGATCCTAGGCGAATCACTTAACTTCTGTTTGCCTGAATCCACTGGAGAAGGAAATGGCAAACCAGTCTTGTCTCGTTGCCAGGAAAACTCCTTGGACTGTGTTGGTGGGGTGTGGTCCATAGGGTCACAAAGAGTCAGGCACAGCTGATGACTGAAGAGCAATAATCCCTCCTTTAATCTACATTCCCTCTTCCTTTTCCTTCCTGTTTCCCTGTTGGGCAAAGTATATATTTGTACCCAACTCTGTGTGTGTGTGTGTGTGTGTTTTCTCTTTTGATCATTTCGAATGACAGTGAGGTTGGTGTCATTTGCCCCCTCCCTCCGTCCTTGTTGTGTAGACTTCATTTCGGCCCCCCAGTTAGGTGGGAATTTATTACCCTGTCCTCTCTCACACCCCAGTTTATTCTTCTTCCTCCCCTTTTTCATTCCTTTATGAGGATCAGAACCATTCCCAAACCCCCTGTCTACTTAGGCACTCCATATGACCCTCTGATAAGACTCTGAGGGGATATATTATGGCGTGTCATCTCTCAAGTCCCTTAGGATTACTTATGTGTATTTACTTCATGGTTCTCTTGTCTCCTGTGTTGGTATGTCAGTTTTATACTCAGCTCTGGTCTTTTTATTAGGAATGCTTGGAAGTCCCATGTTTTATCAGAGGTCTGTGTTTTCCACTCTGTATGATTATGCTCAGTTTTGCTGAGTAAGTTATTCAGGGTTGTAAGCTTAGTTCTCTTGCCTTTTGGAATATCAGATTCCAAGCTCTGCATTCGTTTATTTAGTGGTAGCTAAATCGTGTGAGCCCAATTGTGGTTCCTCAGAATTTGAATTCTTTCTTTCTGGATCTTGAACTAGTTTTTCTTTGACCTGGAAGCTCTGTATTTTGGCCCTAATATTCTTAGGGGTTTTCAGGAGGTGACCAATTGGATTGATTCTTTACTCCAAGACTTCATTCCATCTTGTCACAGAATCCTCCCACCTCCTCATAGCTCTTACCTCTTTATCTCTTATCTTACCTGAACAGTTGTTACAGTCTCTGACACCTTCATTTTCACCACACACACACACACACACACACACACACACACACACACACACACCACACACACACACACACACACACACACACCCTTGACATAGAAAGGAAGCTGCTTTAAGCCCCTGCTACCTTCTGGGTGAACTATTGCCAGACGAATTTTATCTTCCTGCCCCACAACTTTGTCCTTTCCAGTCCATCCTCTGTGCAGCTACTACAGTGATTTTTCTAAAGTGTAGGTCTCACCATGACGCCACTTTAAAATCCAGTAGCTCCCTATTCCCTTTAGGATGAATTATAAATTCCAAAACACTTCACAAGCCAGCCATATTTCATACTATTTAACTAAAATGGCCTTCTGGCCTTTTCTCTCCAAGGGACATTCTGGTCTCTGTGCCTTTGTCTTTGTTGTCCCCTTATGCCTGGAATTCATCTGTCCCCTTTCCCTCCTCCCCTTAGAATGCTTGGTTTCATTCACAACTCCACCCACATGGCACCACCTTGGAGTTACTGCGTCTGGTTTGTACCTGGCTACGTGCATATTGTCTCCCTTGTGGGCCAGAAGCATTTGTTAAGTGCCTACTGTGCGCCCAGCACTGGAGAAGATTATGACCATACAACACAGACTCGGGGTCTATTGGAGGTGTCTCAGAGGGAGGGCACTGGTAGCATTGGGAGGGAGGGTCAGGGGAGATGGAAATAGATTTCTTACAGAAGGGAAGATTTGAGCCGTCTTGAAGCCACATAGTGTCTTTGAGGGCAGGGATGACTTAACTTTTAGGATGGGGGGGGAGATTTTGGGGGGTGTCTGTCTCCTTAGAGCCTAGCACAAAGCTTAGCATACTTAAATATGTGGTTGGTGAATGATTGTAGTTTGAGCTTGGTCATTATAAAGCATTCCACTTTGATCTTGTCATTTGCGTATCTGCTGTTGTAGTCCTGGTACATGTCTGGACCTAAGATTTAGAGCTGAATGGCCCTGAGAACCAATCTCGTCCAGCCCTCTCGTTTTATGCATGAAGAAACTGGTTTAGGGAGGTTAGATGATATGTCTACTTTCTTATTTTTGGCCACAGCTTTCAGGTAGTCCAGTGATTCTTAAATTTATTCTTCTTGATCTCTTTTCCAGATTAGTTGTTTTTGCTATGAGATACTTTGCATTGTCTTTTTTTAGTTTTTTGATGAAAAAAAGTCTTGTTTCATGGTCATTACCTTTATTTACCTTTTATTTGGTCCATTTTAATTTTCAGAGTTTATTGCCTGGGAGAGGTTTTGTACTTCTCATGCTAAGCTGTTGATCATTTCCCTTCCAGTTCTTTCTTCAGAAGCTCTCATTTTTTCCCCCGTTTTTTTCCCTCCAGTACTCTCATCACGTTGGCAGACTTTTTTTTTTTTAATTCCTGGGTCATATCTCCCGGGGATTCTAGTTGAATTTGTGCCCAAATTGTGTTTCTTTGAGTCTATATTTGTGGATGTTTTAGAGTCATTCTTTTCTGAGCATCCTTGACACCATTATAACTTTTTATGGTGGGATTCTTTCTTAGCTTGGTCATTTGTCCAGCCTACTTCCTGACTTCAGCCTTAATGTTAGGCCTGGGCTCTCCATGCTTATGGAGCGAACGTCTGGGCTTTCCCGTGGTTGCTTTCTTGTAGTGTTGAGTTCTGTGGGATCAGGATGTCAAGGACAGCTTAGACTGGGGGCCTGCAGGCTTCCAGTGCTTCCCCTCCTTGAGATCACTGAGTGAAATAGTATTGAGGGAGAGGAGAGGTTTCAGCATGAAGCTTCACTGAAGGAGACAGAAAAGGGGAGTGGCTAGACGTAAAGTAGGAGAGAGATCAGTGTCACAGACATAGAGAGGAGAGTGAGGACTATGGATGTGGAAGCTGTGGGAATGGGGAAATTTGGAAGAAGGCCCTCGGGGAGGGGCTGATAAGTCTGTTTAGGTGTTAGATTGTGAGCTCCTCTTCTACTGGAACATAGCAGGGGCTTAGTGTTTAATTACTGGCTGTTTTCTACAAGTTGAATTTTAAATGCTCATGGACAGTTGGCCATGGAAGCATGGAGTTCAGAAGAGGGAATACGGCTTGTAGACACAGTGTTTGGGGAATCAGTTATATGAATGAGATCACTGGACTCATTAAAGCTAATATGGTGGGCAAGAAAGCATGTAGAAAGAGGATGAAGTCCAGGACAGGCTGTTAGAGGGCATCTAGTGTCTAGGAAGGGTAGGTGGTATTCAGTTGCAGAGGCCAAAGAAGACATGAAAGCTTAGCAAAAGGTGATTTCTGATTTACCCTAGAAGTGATTTTTCTAATGTTCCTGTAACATTTTATTTTGATGAAATAAACAGGAAAACTCAAGCACTGCATTTTAGGTGCTTGACTGAAATGAATAAATAAAAAGCATCTATTAAGCACTCTTATGTTTTATGTGCAAAGCATTGGGGACACAAATAGAAAGGTAAGTTAACATGCAGAGCTCTTTAGTAAGTGTCTAGTGTGTTCCAGGCCCTGTATTAGGCTCTAAGGGAATAGTCTTCCACCCACTCCCTACCCTCCCTAGGAGGAGGTAACGATTAGTTAAGTAGACAGAATACATTCAGAGTTGTTAAATTAGCTTTGAAGGAAGGTAGGGGTTCTTAAGCAGAGGTGAGAGCATTTTACAGAACGATACTTTTTTTCCCTTTAACTCACCCAATTGTAGGAGTTTCCTTGACTATCCATTTTAGTTACAAAGATTTTGTTGTGTTTTTCGGTGGAGCTTGGGGATGGGAAAGACATTTGTTAATTGAAGAATTTCTTTTTTAAAGAGGCAGAAGTGAATGCATTCCATGTGTGGGGAATTTAGAGTAAGAAACGGGAAGAAGACTGAATTGGCTGGGCTTTAGAATAGCACATGAAGAATGTAAAGCTGGCGTATGGAATGTTCAACCGTTAAGATCTTTTTTTCTGTCCAAGTCTTAATTTTTAATTGGTTTGTGATATTGTCTAAAAGACAACTTTACGCTGGCATCCATCTGGAATATTTGTTTAGAAACTAGCCCTTACCTGAGTCTGTCTTTCTTGTAGGGACTCTAACAAACACATTTCAACTCTGCAAATGTTTTTAGGAAAGCAAATGGAAATACTGTGAAAACTGAAATACTAAAACTAAGAACTACCCATCGAACAAACTTTTAGTGACTTTATAGGAAAAAGGCATGTATAAAAAGTCGATGTAGTCTTTGAATGAAAGATCATTAAGTGGCTTCCTATGTGGCAGACACTAAGCACGGGGATACAGACAGAAAAAGGTAGATGGTCTTTGACTTCAAAGAGCTCACTTTGCAATAGCAGAGGGGAGAGCGTCCAGTGCCTCGGTGAGCATTGGAGTCACTGGACTGTGCCTTTGCCAACACTGGTAGTGATCAGACTGTGAATCCCAGACTGGAGGGGCCGGGAGGGGGCTGGAAGCATTGTCATGAGCCTAAGTTAAGCCTGAACACATCTTGCCTCTCTTCCTCCCCAGGATATACGTGTAGGGAAGACAATACCCCACCAGGAAAAGGTTCAGAATGTCTCTGTCCAGTCGACAGATGGCAATTGTCAACCCCCCTCCACCAGAGTACATCAATGCCAAAAAAACTGGCCGTCTCACAAATCAGCTGCAGTACCTGCAGAAGGTCGTCCTGAAGGCTCTGTGGCAGCACAGCTTCTCATGGCCCTTCCAGCAGCCTGTGGATGCTGCCAAGCTCAAGCTCCCGGTGAGTGGGGGATGTTGCCGGGACAGCGTAGGCTCAGGGGGTGGTCAGCATCTGCATGTGGAGGGCATCGGGGCCTGGGAAGCCTGTGATTGTTGCTGTGGGGTCTGGCATTCCCTGGAAACTTGTGGTCAGAGCTGCTAACGCAGCAGGCCCTGTGTTCCTAAGCGTCAGAGACTTTACCTGCAGGACAGATCCTGTCAGGTAGATGAAGCTGTGTCAGCAGTGGTTTTGTCTGCTCCCTTCATACTCTCCAGCTGAGAATTTCTGTAATTCTGGTCACAGGCGTTTTCCCCTAGAAGTGGGTGTTTTAGGTAGGAGTTAGCACAATAGTGTATTAGAAAAGGCCATGTGGTGTGGTGGATAGAGGGCCATGTGCTGTTGGGAAGACCTGAGTTCAAATTCTGCCCCTAATTGGGGCAAGTCACTGAACCTCTCGGTGTTTCCAGGCAACTCTGGAAAAAATCAGCCTAGTTACAGGCCGGCCTGCCAGCGGCTCAGCTTCACGAAGGGAGCTTCTGCACTTGGAAGTTCCCTGTATTGATGAAATCAGAGGTCCAGACCACACATAGAGTAAGAACATGGTACCTAGGAAGCCTCTAGAAGAACATGCAGTAGGATCACTGCCCCCTTCCCAACCCCCCATCCCCCAAAGAGGGAAGGAACCCAAACCAGAAGAAAAAAGGGTTCCTCTCCTTGAAACCAGTAGATCCTTTTTCTGGCCTTAAACTTGTAGTTGGTTTGTCCCAAAGGTGCTGTTAGGGCACCGTATCCTTACAAGCATCATCAGGTAGGGTTGAAACCAGAGGTCACCCAGTCATTGTTAGAGTAGTCTGGGCAGCCTTGGGCCAGGTCAGGCTTCTCAGATTTCTGGAGGCCTCTGCTGAATTCCAGAGCCAGGCTGCTCGATTGTTTTCACACTGCTGTAACCTGGCCAGTTTGAGGGGAGTAGGGGAAGCCATAGGCTCACTTACTAGATCAGTAAGTAACATGAAATATTTAGGACATGGTATGTCGAGCTGTTACCTCTGTCGTCCGAGTTGTCCCCTTACCCCCCACCTGTGACTCCTACCTGAATGAAATGAATTCTTTCAGAAATTGTGGTGCAAATTGTTGTCTTTTGTTAACCAATGTACATTGCAATTATATTTCCTTCTTGAGTAAAATAGACTCGTTTCTGTTACGTTGAGTTTAGTGCCAAGTTTGTCACCAGTCTGCCAGCTTTGGCATAAAGTTGGGTAACCTGTGTAATTCTGTGTATTTTAAAAATTCTGTCTGTATTGTACAGTTGAGCCTCTTTGTGTAAGTACTCCAGCGACAGTCAGACACTGGATCTCTTATTACGAGGCTATTTGGTTTTCAGATCCTGTCTTTACGATGAAACACATTAAGTGTGATGAAAGTTAAATGTTTGCTTCTCTCGTTTGTGCGCCAGTAATTACGGCAGATGTGTTCTTGTTGGCATTCACGTTCTCCTCACTCGAACCCCACAGGACTATTACAGCATCGTTAAGAAGCCAATGGATTTGAGTACAATTAAAAAGCGCTTGGAACATAAATACTATGTGAAAGCATCAGAATGTGTAGACGACTTGAAAACAATGTTCACCAATTGTTATTTGTATAACAAGGTATGTTCTTCTTCCTAATTGTAGTTATTGAGGAGGCGGTCTGCTAGGTCCTAGAAGATAGGTTGTCACTGCAGTGTTAGGTACTGTAGAAATGTGTGCAGTTTACCATTTCAGTTCTCTACGTTGAGTTCATTACTGTTTTCATCCAGTGACTGCTAATAGCTAATATTTATGTATCGCTGTGTGCCAGGCACTCTGCCATGTGCTCACAATCGTTATTTCATTTGGTCCTGGGATACTGGGAAGCAGGTGCTATTATCATCACCCTTTTACAGATGAGGAAACCGAGGCAGACACAGGCTTACTTTGGGTCACACAGCTAGGAAGGGCCTGAGGCTGGGTTTAGAATAACTGAATCCAGGCTTCGGGCTCTTTCCACTGAGCCGCTGACTGCCCCAGGTAGTTACTATTCAGATATTCAACATATATCTGAATCCCTGCTTTGTGCCTCGTATTCAATCTCAGTTCCGTATTTGAGTATGCACTGTGCTGTCACTTTTTCTTTTTTTTCAATTAAGCATTTATTGTATACAGATCATTGTATTGCTCTTGATGCAGAAGTCTACACAGACCTGGTCCCTGTCCTCTCGGAGGCTCCCCCAGTCTTGGTATTCCCCATAGAGACAGAGGGCAGGGTGGAGAGCTGGGAAACTTGTGGGGGTCAGTTACTACCTTCTGTCAGAAGTGTAGTGACTCGCCTGGGCTCAGCCAGGTTGTCAGGACCGGGGGTGGTGTGTGTATGTTTTAGGTAGGTGCTCTATGGAGAGGGGAGGCAGTCATGACCGACTGAAGGAGCTAACGTGCTGCAGAGGAGGCTGGAGGCATCCTCGTCTGCCTGCCTGCTTGTACAGATGAGGAGACAGAGGCTCAGGGAGCATTCAGTGACTTGTCTGAGGTCACTCAGGTAGCATCAGGCGGCCACCCTGTGTGCCATAGAAATAGGAATTAATGGGAACAAGGAGAAGGCAGCACGTTCTAAGTAGAGGGGGGAGAGCATGAGCAAAGGTGGGGAGGCAGGACTGGGGCAGACCAGGAAAGTCAGAGTTTGCTTTGTCGAAGGTTAAACTCACCTTTCCTTGGGCCGGTGTCTCCTCCCTAAGTAAGCTAGAGGTGGACAAGAAGCCAGAGGCCACCAGTCCAAGTGGGAGCTTGGCCAACATCTCCTCTGCCCCAAGGGGTCTGCCCACCTTGGGACAAGAGCATCTGTGTGACGTGGGCTCCGCAGCTGTTTAACCTCTCTGGTCTCCTCCAGCTCTAAGACTCTGCCCCAGTGACCGCTGAAGCTGTGCTTTCTGCCTCTTAATGAATGCTGGGAAGTTCTTCCTTTCCTCCCACATCTGCCTCGCTGTGACTTCTGTTCTTAGTCTAGGCCCTTATTTCTTTATCAGAGACAAAATTGGTGTAATAATTACACAGAGTAATGTGATTTCCATTGAACAGAGAGTCTGTAAAATTCAAATAGAAGTAACATGAGAAGTGGGGTGATTTTTCTGATTTGCTTTTATGAAGCCTTCTGTGGTACACCAAATGCTATGTGTGCAAAATATTGCAATTGTAACTGAATAACAACGTAAATCTTTAATTTGTTTTGTAGCCAGGTGATGACATTGTTCTCATGGCACAAGCCTTAGAGAAGCTGTTTATGCAAAAGATGTCTCAAATGCCTTCAGAAGAGCTAGTAATAGGTGGAAAGGAAAGGAAAAGAAAAGGTAAACAAAACAGGTGGGAGGGAGCCTGATTTGAAAGATTCGTCTGAGTTTGTGTTGTGTTTTGGGTTAAAAATTAAGGGGTTTTTGTCTTAAGTTTTGTTAGGAAGTCTAGCTGTTATGCATTGGATTTTTCTAAGAATCAAAGTCCACGTTAATCATGCACGGCCTTTACCAGCTTCCCGAAGTTTCTTGGTCTCTCTCATACCAGATGGGCTGGCTCATTCTGCTAAAAGAGAAGATAGGCTAACTTTTTGATTTAACTTACTGTTCCCAAAGCCCTGCTTTGGTTCTGATTTTGACCAGGAAGGAGGAACAGTGTGGAACCTTGGTAAAGAACCACCTCGTAGTCCCTACTACCAAGGAGGGGGGAACTCTGGGCATCAGCAGAAATCCCACTTTTCCCAAAAGCATGTTTTGAAATTGCAGAGAAAAAAGTAAGTGTGCTGTCACCTGAGGATAGTACAGGAGGAATGAAGAGGCCCTTAGTAACAAAATTCTCCCGATATGATATAAATAAAATGGCTTCGATAGCCTCATTTTATAATTCCTCGTCAGCAAAGTATCCGAAGGCGTTGGAGTACACCAGTGTTTCTTCATATTAAGGGATACTAAACAGCCAGCTCTAGAAGTAACTCAGGGAACAGCCAGTCCCATGATATAACAGGCTCTTGATTGGGCTTCTCAACTGTCCTTTCAGGTGTCCCAGCTGCCGTTCCCCCCCTCCCCCAACAGGCACTTTGGTCTTCTTGTGTTGTCGGATTCTGACTGATGTTTTTCTAGGAGTTGTGGTATCATGGCTGTCCTCTGGAAATAGCTCATCCCTGAGTTGTGCTTGCATGACCGTTGCCATCAGCACTGCTTAATGAAAACTGGGGTAGCTGGTAGCAGTGTTCATGGAGTTGTTGGGTCCTGTCACCAGGAGCCTTGAAGTGCCAGACACTGCTCTGAGTACTAGACATAGGAACACGGAGAAGGGCTTATGTTATAATATACATCAGACGAGATAAGGGTAAAAGGCTACGTAAATCCTGGTGATGAGGACGGGACTGCTTTTGGCAGCCGTTCTGAAGGAGGGCATTCGGAACTGCCTGCTGGTGATTGGCGGTACAGTGAGACTGTACTCTTTTACATACAAGTCTTCAGAAATCATTTAATTTAGCTTAAATTAAAGAGAGATGTCCAAACTGAGGTAGTCCTCCCATATGTATCCTTGGCCATGACTCTACCCTACCATGATTTAGAACTAACAGGAATCTTGGAACAAAGAAAGGAGAATGTGTTTAAATGTAGCTATCTTAATCCCTTCTTCTTGGAGAAGTACGAGTCTTTATCTTCAACCCTTCTGAGCACTGACCCACTGGAGATGTGCACTTGGGGCAGTTAGCACATTTATGAAGTACCTACGATGTGCCAGCCACTATGCTAGATGCTGGACATCAGTGCAATCATTGCTAGGAAGAGGAAGGCTAGGATCCATCTCCTGAAGAAAGGCCTTTTGTCTTCCATTCAGCTTAAAACAGGGAAGCCTGGAAAGAGTGTTTGGACCAGGAAAAATACTACATCGTAATTTCAGTTGAACTACAAGTTGTTGAAATGTGGATAGAATATGACATCTGGGTTCTGTTTTGTGTGTGTAAAAGTGAATGTATAAAAATGGGGTTCTGAAAGAATTTTGTGTCGATATTTGACTGTTTTGAATACTTTTTTGTTTTTTTTTTAAATTAGGTACTCAGCCATCTTCTGGAGTTTCTGCTATTAAAGAAAAGTCATCCCCCAAGGCATCAGAAATGGTAGCTAAGCAACAAGTGATTCCCTCTTCTGTATGTCCGCAGACATCACTTTCTCCATTGCACGTCGCTGAAGTGGCTGTGCCGAGCTGTGCCACACAGGCTGTACCACAAGTAAGGCAGACAGTCCTTGAAAGATAGAGCTCGATAAACACGGGGATATTGTGCCGTATCATGTCTTAACTATATGTCAAGCAAAAAGTTAAAAGTGAGGTGGCAGTAAAATCAATCTCACACAAACCTTCATTTTTAAAGAACATTTGCTTGAAAATTTTTTCCTATTTTGTTTATTTTTGCAAAGCATTTTTTAATGAAGTTTATGGGGTTTTTTTTGTTTGTTTTTGGCAATTGGGGTTAAGTGACTTGCCCAGGGTCACACAGCTAGTTTGGTCTGTGGCTGGATTTGAGCTCAGATCTTCTTGTGTTCAGAGCTGGTGCTCTGTCCAGTGCGCCATCCAGCTGCCCCCTGATTTTTTAAGAAAGGATTTTTGGACCTTCATTTCAAGTGTTACTCTTAGAATTATTGTCTATTTTTTTCATTTTAAATGCCATAACCTGTATTTTCTGTAAGTTCTGAAGAATTAAGTGCTCTGAGTAATTGGTTAAATTATGGATTTTCTTCTAGGTTAAAAAGGGTGTGAAAAGGAAAGCAGATACTACAACCCCTACAGCTTCCATCGTTACAGCTAGTAGTGAATCTTCACCAACTCCAGTTAAACACAGATTTGCTAAAATACCACTTTCGAAAGAAAAAGTAGTGAAGAATGTTGTACCAGATTCTCAGCAACAACATGAAGTTGTGAAAAGTGTCAAATTAACTGAGCAGTTAACATATTGTAATGAGATTCTTGAAGAAATGTTTGCAAAGAAACACGTAGCATATGCTTGGCCTTTTTATAAACCAGTTGATGTTACTGCTTTAGGACTCCATAATTACTATGATGTTGTTAAAAATCCAATGGACCTTGGAACGATTAGAGTAAGTGGCTTTGTCTTCTGTTTACCTAACCAATGGTCCTTCAGTGTCCTTGTGTCGATAGGTTATGGTTTTATACTGACTTTTGTTTCATCGCTGTAGCTTTGTGAATCCCCACCTTTGTGGTGTTTATCTGTTTCATAATGGATTCCCAACCACTGATCAAAAAGTGGTGTTGCCTGTATTCAGACTGTAGTGATTGTGTCCAGGAGTGAGTGTGTCTGCATCTTGAGTCCATCGTTGCTGTCTGAAGGACTGTTTCATCCTAGGGCCTCTGGTCATCGCTTTCTTCAGAGATGCTGGCCTCGTACAGATGTTCTCCTGGCTGTGCTTACATCACTCTGTATCATTTCATAGTAGCAAGGATTCTCTAAAATGGTTCTTGTCTTCCTTTAATATGGCATAATGATAGTCTCTTATGCTTATATTCCACACTTTGTTCAGGCATTCCCCAATTAAGAGTTACCCCCTTTAATATAATTCTGTGCTCTTGCTTTTCTTTTTTCTCCTTTTAATCTCTCTTCAAGCCCAGGGAAGATCGTTTGCAACTGTTCCTTCCTGAGTTTCCGCCTCTGCACCCTCCACCAGTGTTAGCTTGGTTCCATGTTGAGTTTGACCGTCTTTCTGTGGTCATCTCATTCACCCTTCCTTTGTCCACCTTGAATGAGAATGATGTTCCTTTGAGGCCTGTTTCTCCCATCCCTTCTCTGCTCTTATAGTCCTGTTCCTATGAATCCCAGTTAGGGAAAACAGTTCTGTTCCCTTCCTCCTCTTTACACGAGTATTTCTTTTACCTTCTTTCTCTTCCTAGACCCTCAGAACAAAACCAGTTCCCTTCCAGACCCTCTTTTTTTCTTGTTCAGCTTTCCCAATATCCTTTACAGTCATTAAGATTCTGCAGGAATGCTTGTTTCTTTCCCTTTAGAATATTAGGATAGCATGAGTGCCTGGACCTTTCTAAGCTTCTCTGGACTGTGCAATCCAGAATTCCTACCCAGCTCAAGTCCACCTTTGCAGGGTGAGTGATTCTGACTTGAAAGGCTGTCTCCTTCGCTTTTGGGATGTTGTTTAGAGTGGGAGCTGTCACGTCTTAAGTGATCCTCACCGGGTTTCCTTGCTATGTGAACTGTTTCTTTGGGGAGCTTGTCGTACTCTGAGTTTTGGGCCACAAGATTGCTGGGGACTTTGCTCTTGGGCTTCCTTTAAGAAGTCAGGATGGATTCCTTTTGTTTATGGTTTCTCAAAATACAGTGTCCAGGATATTATTCAGTCCTGGTTTTTAAATAGTCCAGTGATTCTCAAATTATTTCTCCTTGACCTGATTTCCAGGTGAGTTATTTTTGAGACCGTACACCTCTATTTGTGCTTCTGTCTTTGGAAGGCACTGACCGTGTAGTCTGTTTGGTTTTCAGGGACTCCATTTCCTCGAGGAGGTCGGCTCTGTTGTCTCATTCTGTTTTTTAAACCCTTGCTTCGTGTTCTTCCAGGTATTTATGTGGGTTCTTGTGCAGTCCATCACTTTTCCTTCTAGTCTGTGTTGGCAGTTCTCCACTTTGGGGGCATTTCTAGGTTTGCAGTCATTTTTTAGGCTTGTTAGTGTCTGTTTACTCCCCTTTTCGGTTGGAATTCCTGACTTGTGCTTTATGCCTCAGCTGGGCTCTGCCTCCTGTGGTGTTTTTGGGTGGGGTGGTGGTCTGCCCTGGTTGGTCCTGCACTGGGTCACCTCCAAGGTAGGCCCCTCTGGACCTTTGAGGCTGAGAGGGCGGAATATCAAGGCTCCCTCTCCTGCTGCTACTTGTCTTCTGGCTGGATGAAGTCTTTGACTCTAGTTTATTACTGGATTTCTTGGTCTTTATTAGGTTCGGGGCAGATTTCTACATTTTGCTGCCGTAGGTAATTATGGGGGCTAGGGCAGTCTTGCCTCCTCTCAGGCAACTATTCGCATTGTATTATGTTAGCGTTATGTGCACTTCCTCGTCCCGTGTAGTTTACCTTGGATGTTGGGTCGTCTGGTTTAAAGCCTTCTGTTTTTCAGTTGGAACAATATTCCATTGCAGTGATCTGAGTGCATCTTTGGTTATCCGTGCTGTCTGGCCAGCTCCCTGCCTGGTGTGGAGGCGTGTTTGTACCTTGGAGCACGTGGACTTTGAACAAATGTGGTGCTGTCCTTGGATGGTTGAGGAACGGGAGGGGAAATGGTGTGCCAGAACAGTGTGGTGGATGTGCATCGCTGCTTGTGCTAGGATGCTTTTGGAGCTTTAAGTAAATCCTTGAATATTTTTAACAGAAAAAAATGGACAACCAAGAATATAAAGACGCACATGAATTTGCTGCAGATGTTCGGTTAATGTTTATGAATTGCTACAAGTATAACCCACCTGACCATGAGGTGGTATCAATGGCGAGAACCCTTCAGGTGAGATGTTACTTCAAATCTTTCTCTTTTGTTTCATTTTAAGAATATAGTCTGTATTTATATGACTTTTGTAACTAATGTTCATGCATCTTTCCCAAAGAGTTTGGATATGCAGTTTAGCGCTTTAAGGTTTCACTGCCTAAAGTCCCTTTTAATGAAGGGTCCCTTGGTGTGGCTGAGGGTGAAGCACGTGCAGGTGTTCTTGGGGTTCACTGTGTTCAGTGGTTTGTGGGATTGCTTCCTGGGAGCAAGAGGAGGGTAGCCCTCGGTGTAGCATGCTAGTTTTCATTTCACTGAGCAGGAGACCCTTTCAGAAGAGATGAGAAGAACTCCCTGCATGGTTCAAGATCACAGGAATTCAGTCTCCCAGGATTAGAGGGGAAGGAGTTACTAAGGGAGAAATGTATGAGCTAGAACATACTCCCTATGCTTACTGTATGCCTGCTATTGACAGCATCATTCCGCAGGAGCAGTGTTGCTATTAAATGTAAAGTAGACAGGTTTTGTAGGTTGGTGGTTTTTTTTGGGTTTCTTTTAGGATGTTTTTGAGATGCAGTTTGCCAAAATCCCAGATGAACCCATTGAAAGAATGCCTATATGCTACATTAAAAAGGATGTAGCAAAAGCTTTTTGTAGAGAAAGTAGTAGCGATGCTTCCTCTGAGGACAACTCTTCTGAAGAGTCACCTGATGAACGCGTGCAGCGCCTTGCAAAGCTTCAGGAGCAGGTATGTCGCTCGCTGGTCTGCCCCGCGCTGCAGCCGGGCCAGATCAGCAGTGTCATGTTCATGTACTGTTGAGGGTATTTTCTTCAGTTAAATTAGCCAGGTGATTACTTGTGGTTTAGGTGAACAGCCAAAGAAATTCGGAATGGTTGATATTTATTTTAACTAAAAAAAATTTTTATGTTGAGAAATTTCCATGTTGCTAGCTACACTGAGTGATGTCTGATTTTAAGTAGTTTACAAGATATTTCTGAAATGTCTCATGGATGAATGTAGTTTCAAGCTAAAATTATGTAGTATGAATGTAGTTTCAAGTTAAAAAACCCAAAAATATTTCCTTAGTGAACTGCTAGCTATAACCTGTTTTATGGTTAAAATTATAGACTAAATGCATGCTTATTTTAGAAATTTCTTTTTAGTCTGTGGGCAAATTCTGAATCCGTTTTTGAAGTAAAATTTAATTTTTTGTGTCTTTGGTCTGTCTTTTTATTTTGTGTCTGAAAGTTGGAGATTATTAATTTATATTTAAAGGAAAGAGAGATACTTTTTCTTAGGATAATGAATTAATAAAATCAATGTGCAGACGTCAAGGGAATGTGAGGGTCTAAAGTTTCTTTAAGATAATATATCTGAATTTACAGCCCCTTCATTTTTATAATTATCTTTAATGTTCAATTCAAAGTGTTAAATAAACATTTCTCTTTATTAGCTTAAAGCTGTTCATCAACAACTACAAGTTCTGTCTCAAGTACCTTACCATAAGCTAAAGAAAAAGAATGAGAAATCTAAAAGGGGGAAGAAAGAAAAAAAGGAAGTTATGAACAAAGATAAAAGTCAGAGGGAAAATTTTAAGCAAGTAAAACTAAAGAAAAAGCTGAAAACCAGGTGAATTTTTTTCATACGGTTATTCGTTCACATAATTCACCTCTCATATACACACATATATCTCACAGAATTATCTAAGCTTACTAAACTAAGTAAAATTTGTTACAGTCAGCCAAAAAACACCAAGCAACAAATGTTGGCGTATAAATCTGAGGATGAAGACAATGCTAAGCCTATGAATTACGATGAGAAAAGGCAGTTAAGCTTGGACATAAACAAACTCCCCGGAGACAAACTTGGGCAAGTGGTCCACATAATAGAGTCAAGAGAACCATCTTTAAGGAATTCTAATCCTGATGAGATAGAAATTGATTTTGAAACACTAAAAGCATCAACCCTGAGAGAACTGGAAAAATATGTCATGGCCTGTCTGAGAAAGAGACCCAGGAAACTTCATGGTACGTAGCTCTCTCTGCAAATTAGCAGCAGTCTAACTGGTGTTTGCCTTTGGTCGTGCTCACTTTTTGTCCTAAATCATGCAGCTAAGAAAATAACGAAATCCAAAGAAGAGCTTCATTCACAGAAAACACAGGAGTTGGAAAAGCGGTTACTGGATGTCAGTAACCAGTTAAATTCTAGAAAACGCCAAACAAAATGTAGGTGACTGTTTTAAAGTGTTGGTGCGGCCCCTTAATTCTACTGGTAGGTTATTGTCTCTCCCCCTGTTTTCCAGCTGAGAAAACTCAATTGTCCAAGGCCACAGGAGAGGCCACGCGTCTGAGCGAGAGCAGCAGCAGCAGCAGTGCCGGCGGCAGCAGCTCCTCGGGCTCAGGCGGCAGCAGCAGCAGTGAGTCGAGCTCTTCCAATAGCAGTAATTCCGATTCAGGTTAGCTGCCCTTTTTCAGTCTCTCTCTGTAGGTGGCACATCTGTTCCTGAAAGGCTAGAATTGTTCTCTTTAAGGAATGTTTGTTGCATCTAACAGGAAGCTGTGATTTGTACTGCCAAATCCATTCACCTTGTTTTCCATCCCAGGCTTATCTCCCTACCTTGATGTATGTGAACTTGTATAAGTCTCTGATAGGCTTGTAACGTCCAAGAGAGAACTAAGTTGACCAAAACAGGGACAATCGCTTAATAAAACATTTTAAAATGGTTAGATCTGCGTTAGCTTATCACAAAAATAAAGGGTCACTAAAGGCATCTCACATTACAGTGACTGTAATCTGGTTTATCATGTATAGCAAGGTTGTGAAATGTACTCTCTGTTACGGGATACTTCATTCTGAATTGAATTAGTGTTTTGAATTGAGAAACCAACCATTCCTGCAGTTTTTTCTATAATTAGACTTGCCTTTTTTATTCAAATTATAGCAAAATGTTGTGCATTTCAAATGTCAAATTCTTGCTTTTGCTAAATCTGTTACCTCGTATAGTTAAGTTTGAGACAGTTGAGAATTCTGTCCAGAGAAGTAACTCATGCCTCATTCATTGGGCTTTTGCTTCAGAAAATAGTCTTACAGTTCACTCACAATCACTGCCACAAAACTCTAATGAGTTGGCAAAAATTTCAATAAATGTGTCGGACTGAGGTTAAAGCTAAGAATATGGGGCATTTTTTTTAAGCATTGAAAGCTTTCTTTTTCTTTGTTCATAAATGAATTGCATACCAAGTAGCATCAAGGCTGAGCCCTAGTTCATAATATGATATTGTCACATTAAAAATTCTTGCTGTTTGAAAGAATTCTGCCTTACTGGCTTGTAGTAACTATTTCACTTTTAGACATTATTTTTGTTTGAGTTTATGTAATACTGACTTCTGAATTTCACATCCCTCAATTATATTGTGACGACTTTATAATGCAGTTTTCTAGAGTACTGTACATTTTGAACTTTAGTTAAAATTTGTCATGCTGAACAGTTAAAAAAAATTCGGGATCCATTGATATTGTAAAACTTCCCCCTCTCCCCATGTGACTTTTTTAAACAAAAAGCAACCTTCACGAAAATCTAAATTGTATTTAGTATTTTAAAATTGTACTTTACTCTTTGTAATTTTTCATCCAATAAAGAGCTTGTGAACTGATAAGGTAAATTGCTCTGTCTTTTCTTTAGTTGTAAGATTTAAAAACTCCATGTTATAATTTTGACAAATTGCAAAAATCTGCATTTTTCAGCTGCTTTTTTAAAAAAGTACTTTGATTCTTAGAGAAGAGGTGGTCTACACGTATGAAGACTCAAAGTGTACTTACAGGTTTTTGAAATGACGATTATGATGTTGACTGTTGCTCTTTACTTTCAAAATAAACAAAACTGGAGCACCTTATAGCGTATAATCCAGTCTCTTGACTTCAGAGCAAGTCACTTAAATTCTTTGGGCCCCCAGCAGCTCACTAAGGCAATAAATCTCGGAAATAGTGCCTGTTTGCTTTGGAGGAGAGGGCCTTTCCTCCTTGGGAATTCCCTACACCAGTGAAATTGGAAGTCACGGCCTGAACACTCTTTTCTCTTTTGTGCAGGTAGCTCACAGAGGTGTGCTCTTTATCGGCCTTGACTGCATTCCCATCTTTGTCATCTTAAATTGAGTCTGTTTAGGTGTTCGTTTTCTAATTTGCTCTCCAGTTATATCTCGCCTGTTTTCAGTAATTTTAAAAAACTCATTTACGTTGCTCAAGGATTGTGTATAATTTGGTGCTTCTGAATTTCTGCTTTTTTAAAAATTAATACTTCAGGTTAGTGCTGGCATGTGTACACGGTTGGTCACATCACAAAACAATACCACAGTTCTTTTCTATCCAGTTTTGTAATTGGCAAGATAATTAAGTTTCTTGGAAAGACATGTATGTATGTATATGTATATATGCATGCATGTGTGTGTGTGTGTGTGTGTGTATTTGTGCATGCATATACCCAGAGGGTGTAAAGCCCCAAAACGCCCTCTAACTGTCCACTTGCACATGTGAAACTCTTCTGATAAGTTGGAAGGTGACCTTTAATGGAAAAGGTACAGTTAAATTTTGTGTTTGTTTAAATGAAGTAATGTGAAACCAGTAAGTAAGGCAGGGATGCCCTTTTTTCTGTTCTAGACTTGAACCCAGTGAAATCATCCAGAGGTAGATATAAGAAAAAGACTCATCCTATGAAAAGGGACTTCCAGTTCTGTGGTGTAGCTTAGAAAATACATGGTTTTGTTTGTTTGGTGATTTGTTTTTTTTTTTTAATTTGTTTGTAGTCTTAACCTTACACTTTAAAGAGTCCTTAATAGGCAAATATCTTTTCAGGGACAAGCAAGGAGGTTTATTACTAATGATTTCTTATGAATGGTCGTAGTAAATGTTAAAAATTATTAAACACGTCAACACCAAAGGATGTTTTGATGACTTTTCCCAAAGTACAAATTGCAGAGGAATGAAGGATTTCCATAGGAGTGACAGTCCACAAATGTGCTGAACCAGAATCATTTAGTTTTGCATCATCATTCTCTGGCATCAGAAATGCCTGGTTGGAAAAATAAGGGGTTTGGTCTACCAGCAAGATACAAGGAGAACCAGTGACCTCTTCGCTCTCCTGGTGTCCTTGAAATGGCAAGCAGAGGCACCCCTGATGTGAGTGGCCTCCCCCCCTTCCCCGCCCCCCAGGATTTCTGGAAGGACATGGGATGTGAGGAATGGGTGAGCAAGGGTGGGTTGTATCTGCATCGTGGGAGGAAAGCAAGATAGACTTTGGGATGATACTTTAGTATTAGAATGACACAACCCAATTCTGTTCTCTCTTGAAGGTTTGATGTTAAAGATCACAGACTAGTTTTTGTGTTCTGTTACTGTATGTGTGTCATCACATTGTCTTCTTTATTTAAATGGTTTACATCTGACATAAACTTTAAAATTTGAGCTTTTCACTTCGTATTAACCTAGATTAAAATTGGGGAGTTTTGTCTTGAAAGTAAGACTCCTAGGGGCAGCTAGGTGGCGCAGTGGATAGAGCACCGGCCTTGAAATCAGGAGGACCTGAGTTCAAGTCTGGCCTCAGACCAAACACTTGACACTAGCTGTGTGACCCTGGGCAAATCACTTAACCCCAATTGCCTAAAAACAAAAACAAAAAAACCAAAAAAAAAAGTAAGACTCCTATAACATTTGGAAACATACGTGGACCTGAAAAATAAAGATGTTTTGACATTGATCTCTGAGGTAAACAGTTCACAGAAATGGGAAGAGCGCTTCAAAGTACTCCAGTTTCTGTTTGAAGTCTTTTGTAGAAAGATTTCAGCCAAGATAAGACGTCTGTCAGTTTGTGAGGGTGGGCTCTATGATTTTTTTTCCCTATCTCCAAGTACATCTTTAGGTAACTTCTAGCTTTTAGCATTTCCTTCAGTAATGAATGTGGGCAACAGCTAAGAGTCTGTAGACTTCTTCAGACTGCCAGAAGGGGCCCATGAGACAAAGCCCTCCAATGTGCGGTGAAATATTGTTGAGTTTGAGGAGGGCAGGATAACTACCTCAGTGTAATACCCTTTCCATTAAACTAATTAATATCATTAACAAGGTCAGATTCACGACAAGCCAAAAGAGTATGATGCTCTATGTATAGAATGACTCCCAACGTAAATGACTGTGCCATTAAGTGTCAGTCGAGATCCGCCATCTATGCTTGTGAAGGAGGCTCACGGCCCGACATCATATCTGATCAGTGTGGCTTGCTTCTGTGAGGGCTGAGGCTTGTCCAGTGCAGAGGCTTCAAACTCAAAACTGTCAGCTGACTCCTGACTCAGACAACCACAAATTGACGTTATCTATGTTAGATTGATTTTTTTAAAAATGCTTGTTAAATATTTCTCAGTCACATTTTTACCTGATTAGGGTTGCTTCTAGGGAGTTTTGGGAGGACCAGAGTTTGATACCTCTGCCATGGACACCTAAGAAGAGAGTCTAGTATGAGACAAAATGAGGGAACGTAAAACATAACCTGACTTACTGTGGGTGGTTACATTCATGGTGTAATAATCAGCTGGGGCCTATCACTTTGATTAGCAAGGTCGTGCTTTTACCTGAAGTCTCACATCAAGCCCCTTCTGGAGTCACAGGGTCAATTCACATGTTTAAATGAGAGAAATGGAGAAGGAAATTGCCAGCAATATATTCGCTCTTGAATAAACAGCCGAAAAGGGGGGCGTAAAGAAAAATTACATTTAAGCCAGGGTAATCAAGGGTATATAACTTGATCACAGATAAGACCAGCTCATGCTGTGTAAGAAAACAGCTGTATCCTGTACTTTTTAGTGCCACTTTTCTACCCATAGATGATGATCCCCCCTTTTTTTCCAAGAAAATAAGGTGTACTGCGACCACAAATATTGTCAAGGTTTTCATTTATCAGGAAAAGTACTCTATATCATCAAAACTTAAAATGAATATTTTTAAGTTCCTTCCTCCATTTTTTGAGGTTGACTTGATTTCAGAGCTGTGAGCTAAGAAATCAGTTTTTTGAAGCCCTCAACTTTTCTGTTTCATAGTGACTAAATACAATATGAAATAGTTATATCTATTCTTTGAGAAACTAGGACTTAGTTTTAATGGCTGATTACTTTCTTATTCACTAATAGGTCCCTTGGAAGAGAAGGTTGCAATGACATAATCCATTTCTAGGTTTTGGAATATCCCTTATTTGGGAGCATGGGGGCCAGATAAGATAGGTGAACAGGAAGGATGTAGAGATCTAACATGTATCTTTATTATTGTACCTGAATCCAGTCACAGAAAGCTTTTATGAAGTGCTTGCTGTGTGCCAGCCTCTGTGCTAAGCTCTTCGAGTACAAAGAAAGGCAGACGCATAGTCTGTGCCCACAGAGAGCTCACATTATAATGTGGGAGATGATGCACAGGCAACTA